TTTACTTCCTCTGGGATCTTTGCACCTAAATTCCCTCTTTCTGGAATATTTCTACGTTAATTCTTTGTGAGTAGCTCTTTTTGTTTTTTTACACAGTTTTCTCCTGTTTGGTCAGGCTGGTCTTTGAACTCCTGACCTCAGTTATCAGCCTGCCTGGCCTTCCAAAGTGCTGGGATTACAGGCGTGAGCCGCTGCACCTGGCCTTAGTGGGCTATGACTCTTAAGGCCCTATAGGCCAAAGACCACATCTGTAGTAAAATTATTAGATGTATTTAGCTTGCTGCAGCAAAAGAAAACATACTCCTGAGAATTTTGGGTCTTAGTACTACAGAGTGAGTTGAACAGGGGCCTGAAAGGAGCAGATGAGGAAGAATGAGGTGGGGCTAATGATATCATTGGGAATGAAGTCTGCCAAATAAAGGATCTTTATTTAACAGCCTTGTATGGAAACATTGTTTACATGGTAAGTTCAGTTCTCTTGAAACCATTTGCTCAAGTTTTGATAGGAATATCGCAGTCTGATTACCTGCAGGGCTGATTTTTCTCAATTCCTCACTCCTGTTGAATTAGAGCTTGGCTTAAATGTTACTTCTCAGAAAACCCTTTTACTTGTTTTTATTTCAGTATTTTGTATAATATAAACTGTTTTTTTCGAGATGCAGTCTGCTTTGTCTCATAGGCTGGAGTATAGTGGCGTGATCTCAGCTCACTACAACCTCTGCCTCCCGGGTTCAAGCAATTTTCCTGCCTCAGCCTCCTGAGTAGATGGGATTGCAGGCGTACGCCACCGACGCCTGGCTAATCTTTGTATTTTTAGTAGAGATGGGGGTTTCACCATGTTGACCAGGCTGATCTCGAACTCCTGACCTTGTGATCGGCCCATCTCAACCTCCCAAAGTGCTGGGATTACAGGCGTGAGCCACCGTGCCTGGCATATAAAGTATAATTATTACTTTGTTGTCTACTTATTTGCCTTTGTCTTCTCCCCTGGAATATACTACTATAGAATGGTGGAGATGATCCGGCATCATTTCATTTATTGATTATGTAATATCTCTGTCTTACAGGTTGTTTTTCTAATTCTGACTAAACTTCCAAGAGTACTATGAAGATTATGATGAACTTCTCAATATTTTGAATTACATGAAACTATTGGTACAGGTAATTTTTATTTTTTATTTTTTTTTTTTTGAGGCAGTAGATAAATCAACTATTTGAGAGTATAGATCATTGGGTAGGCATGAGCTTCTTAGTGTAACCCATATAGTTTTAAAATTCTTCTACTTACTACAGTAAGATAAAGTGGCACAAGCAGAGAGGAAGAGTAGTAGGAGAAGCCCTGTAGGTTACTGCAAGGGACTTTGACTTTTATTCTAAATAAAAAATTTATTCTAAATATTTCTTTTATTTCTTGACTTTTATTCTAAATAAAAGTTATTGGAGAGTTTTGAGCTACGGGGTAATCTGACCTTTTTTTTTTATAGAGTTGCTCTGGCTGCTGGTAGATAAAAGGTTGGGTGAGGGAGGGTAAGAGCAGAGGCAGAGATATGTTAGGAGGCTATTGCAATAATTCAGGTGTTGATGCTAGAGATGATGGTGGCATGGATGAGGGTGAGGTAGTAAAAACATGAAAGGAGTGGGATTTTATACACTATATACACACACACACATACACACACACACACAAACCCACACACCCCTATGTGTGTTTTTTACATTAAGGTATAACATATAGTAAAATATGCAAAGTACATTAATCTCAGTAGAGTTTTACACATGTATATGTATACACATACCCATATATTCCCTGCTCAGATCAAGACGTAAACGATTTCCAGGGAGTACCTGCCTAGTTTCCCCAAAGTAACCATTTATATAGTTTGAAGACAGAGCCAATGGGATTTATTAGGGTGCGAGAGAGAGAGAGAAGGGCTAAGAATGGTTCCAGGATTTTGGCCTGAGAACCAAGGAAAATGGAGTTGCCCTTTGTTGAAATAAAAAGACCATGGGAGAGACTACTGGGAAGTTCTTTTTGGAAATGTTAATTTGGAGATTTCTTTTAGCTCCCGGAGTGGAGATGTTTATCCAGCTTTTGATCCAGTTTTGTAACATAATTGCTTATCTTCAAAGTTTTAAAACTGAGTGGTCTCAGGAACTTTATATTGTATTCTAGCAGTGTTAATTATAAAGGAGATTTAATTGCAGTGTTAATCATAAAGCAAATTTCTAAAGTGAATTCTGTTTTCTTTTTGATTACAAAGTTAGAGATAATACTATCATGGTAAAAAAATAAAAACCTTGAGCTAGACATTGGGTAAGAGGAAGCAACAGGAAAAAAAAGCCAAAAACTTTCAGGAAAATTTGGCTTGATAGAGTCTTTTAAAATTATTATATATAAAAAGGTGTTTGTGCCTGAGTCCTTGATTGTCTTTTCATAATACATTTTCCTACTTAGGTGCCTTTGCAAAGGTCAAACTTGCCTGCCGTATTTTTACTGGAGAAATGGTAGCTATAAACATCATGGATAAAAACACACTAGGGGTAAGTTTAAATTTATTTTAAAAATATTCTACTTATAGATCAGTTTTGTGAATTAAAACCTGAATTGTTCTAATGTTCTAGTTACTGATCTTAGAATATTATTTTTATAGCTTTTAAAAACATACAGTCTGGGCATGGTGGCTCACGCCTGTAATCCCACCACTTTGGGAGGCCGAAGCAGATCACCTGAGGTCGGGAGGTCAAGACCATCCTGACCAACACAGAGAAACCCTGTGTCTACTAAAAATACAAAATTAACGGGGCGTAGTGGCGCATGCCTGTAATCCCAGCTACTTGGGAGGCTGAGGCAGGAGAATCACTTGAACCTGGGAGGCGGAGATTGCAGTGAGCCAAGATCATGCCATTGCACTCCAGTATCAGCAACAAGAGTGATACTCAGTCTCAAAAAAAAAAACCCAAAAAAAGTATAGATCTGTGGTCAGCCTCTTTAGTAGCTGGGATTACAGGCATGTGCCACCATGCCCAGCTAATTTTTTGTATTTTTAGTAGAGACAGAGTTTCACCATATTGTCCAGGATGGTCTCGATCTCTTGACCTCATGATGTACCCGCCTCAGCCTCCCAAAGTGCTGGGATTACAGGCGTGAGCCACTGCACCCAGCCAAAATGTCGTCTTTCTAATACACCCCTAATGGGGTTCTATGGTTTAGTAGATAGAATATGTTAGAATTTGCTCCCAGAGGGAAAGACTCATTCCAGTTTTATATTGTATATTAATTCCCTAGGGCTGTTGGAACAAATTACTACAGACTTGTTTCCTTAAAGCAACAGAAGCTTATTGTCTTACAGTTTTGGAGGTTTGAAGTCTGAAATCAAAACGTGGGCAAGGCTGGTTCCTTCTGGAGGTTCTGCTTCTTTCCTAGTTTCTGGTAGTTCCTGGCAGTCCTTGGCACTCCTTGGTTTACAGATGCACCACTCCCATCTTGGCCTCTGTCTTCAAAGGGTGTTTTCCTCTCTGTGTAGCTGTGTCTCTGTCCGAATTTCTCTCTTCTTAAAAGGCCCCAAGGATTAGACTTAACCCTGATCCAAAAACAGTTCAACCCACAGCACATGGTAGCTTCCAGTGTCTGCTATGTAAATCAAGCAATTTCAAGTTTTAACCTGCCCTTTTTGTCTTGAAAGATGTATTTAGAACTTGTATTATTCAACTTATTTTGTTTTTGTTAGTGTCAGCCAAATAGTATGCAAAAGGCTGATCTCAAACTTCTGACCTCAAGCAATCTGCCCACCTCAGCCTCTCAAAGTGCTTGGGATTACAGGAATGAGCCACTGCGCCCGGCCCTCAAATTTTGTTTTCTCTGAGTTATTTACGTACTTTACTTCTGTCTCTTGTAGATACCTATGTATATTTTATACATATGTGTATTTTATATGTGTGTTTATGTAGCTTACTGGTTTCTATCACACAAATGGTCACAAATTTTAGTATTACTTTGCATTTTTCTTTTTTCTCATGTAACATTTTATCTTAGAGACCATCTATGCACATTCAGATATTTTAGATGTTTTTGTCTTTATTTCGTATTTCTTTATTTGAAAATATGAAGTAGGCTGTTTGTGTAAAACTTATTGGATGACATTAAAACATTTACTATTGAGGTATAATTTACATACAATAAAATGTACACATTAGGTATGCAGTTTAACAAATGTGTATACTCATGTACCTCCCACCTTCGTCAAAATATAAAACATCTGTTTCCTCAGAAAGTTTTCTCCAGTCCTTATGAAATTTTTCATGTAATCATAACCACCCTACCCTTACCAGCAACTACTCATCTGATATCCATCACTGCAGATTAGTTTAATCTGCTCTAGAATGTGATGTAAATGACTCATACAGTATTCTTTTGATTATTTTTTTGCTTGGCTTTTTTTCCTCAGCATAATACTTTTACAAGTCACTATATCAATCTATACTCTTTTATTAACTTAATACTGGACATTGTTCCATATCAGTTTGTAAAGAGCTTCCTCTTTTTTTTTTTTTTTTAATTACTGCCTAGAATTCCATTCCATGTCATAGTTTATATAGTATCAGCATTTAGGTCTAAATGCTGGTGTTTCCCACAAATTCATATGTTGAAACTTAATCCCCAGTGTGATAGTACTAAGAGGTGGGGTTGTTTAAGGAGGTGATTAGGTCATGAGAGCAGAGCCCTTATGAATGGGATTAGTGCCCTTATACAAGAGGCTTTTGGGGGCCTATTTGCTCCCTTCTACCACATGAGAATACATAGCATATGCCATCTGTAAGCAACAGGACCTCACTAGACACTGAATCTACTGGCACCTTGATGTTAGACTTCCCAGCCTTCAGAACTGTTAGCAGTACATTTCTGTTGCTTAGAAATGACCCAGCATAAGGTATTTTGTTACAGCAGCCCAAATGGACTAAGACAGCTGTTTCTAGTCTTTTGCTTTTACAAATACTGCTGCTGTAGTAAATGCTTTAAGGTACTTTGTTGTTGTTGTTGTTGTTTGTTTTTTGTTTTTTTTTTTTGCTTTTTTTTTAAATTGCATTTTAGGTTTTGGGGTACATGTGCAGAACATGCAAGATAGTTGCATAGGTACACCAATGGTAGTGTGTTCTGCTGCCTTCCTCCCCTTCACCCACATTTGGCATTTCTCCCCAGGCTATCCCTCCCTAGCTCCCCCCACCACTGTCCCTCCCCTATTTCCCCCAATAGACCCCAGTGTGTAGTACTCCCTTCCCTGTGTCCATGTGTTCTCGTTTTTCATCACCCACCTATGAGTGAGAATATGCGGTATTTCATTTTCTGTTCTTGTGTCAGTTTGCTGAGAATGATGTTCTCCAGATTCATCCATGTCCCTACAAAGGACACAAACTCATCATTTTTTATTGCTGCATAATATTCCATGATGTATATGTGCCACATTTTCCCAGTCCAGTCTATCATCGATGGGCATTTGGGTTGGTTCCAGGTCTTTGCTATTGTAAACAGTGCTGCAATGAACATTCGTGTGCATGTGTCCTTATAGTAGAACGATTTATAGTCCTTTGGATATATACCCAGTAATGGGATTGCTGGGTCAAATGGAATTTCTATTTCTAAGGCCTTGAGGAATCACCACACTGTATTCCACAATGGTTGAACTAATTTACACTCCCACCAGCAGTGTAAAGTGTTCCTATTTCTCCACATCCTCTCCAGCATCTGTTGTCTCCAGATTTTTTAATGATCGCCATTCTAACTGGCATGAGATGGTATCTCAATGTGGTTTTGATTTGCATCTCTCTAATGACCAATGATGATGAGCATTTTTTCATATGTTTGTTGGCCTCATGTATGTCTTCTTTTGTAAAGTGTCTGTTCATATCCTTTGCCCATTTGAATGGGCTTGTTTGTTTTTTTCCTGTAAATCTGTTTGAGTTGTTTGTAAATTCTGGATATCAGCCCTTTGTCAGATGGGTAAACTGCAAAAATTTTTTCCCATTCTGTTGATTGCTGATTCATTGTAGTGACTGTTTCTTTTGCTGTGCAGAAGCTGTGGAGTTTGATTAGGTCCCATTTGTCTATTTTGGCTTTTGTTGCCAATGCTTTTGGTGTTTTGGTCATAAAGTCCTTGCCTACTCCTATGTCCTGAATGGTTTTGCCTAGATTTTCTTCTAGGGTTTTTATGGTGCCAGGTCTTATGTTTAAGTCTTTAATCCATCTGGAGTTAATTTTAGTGTAAGGTGTCAGGAAGGGGTCCAGTTTCTGCTTTCTGCACATGGCTAGCCAGTTTGTTTTTTGAGAAAGCGTCTCACTCTGTCACCCAGGCTGGAGTGCAATGGCGTGATCTCGGCTCACTGCAACCTCTGCCTCCCGGGTTCAAGTGATTCTCCTGCCTCAGCCTCCCGAGTAGCGAGATTACAGGTGCCCACCACCACGCTGGCTAATTTTTTGTATTTTTAGTAGAGACAGGGTTTCACCATGTTGGCCAGGCTAGTCTCGAGCTCCTGACCTCAATTGATCCACGTGCCTTGGCCTCCCAAAGTGCTGGGATTACAGGTGTGAGCCACTGTGCCTGGCCAAGGTACTGTTTTTTGATATGAGTAAGTACATCTGTAAAAGCAATAACTAAATGTGCAACTGTGAGGTCAAATATATATGCATTTGTAATTTTAATTGATATTGCTAAAATGAAAACCCAGCTTACAGATAAGTGGGGCTGCCCTGGAAAAGGGATGTGAAGCCTCGAGCTTTGTGCTTCAGTGCCTGTTCTGCAGCCTCTGAGATACCTCTGTAGACCTGGGCTCCTGGTATAGATTGAAAACCACAGGTCTTTGGGATAAGAAACGATAATTATTGCTGGGTTTTAAAATTTCAGGTAATTACACTAAATGAGAGTGCATTAAGGTGAGAATGGGTTTTAATACTTTGCTGTAAAAAGATAAAACCCTGGGTGTGCTTTTTAAAATCACAGTGGTAGTTGGTTTTACTTCTACTTACTGTAATAAAACTGTTCGAGGAAAGAGTTATTGTTCTAATTCATGGAGTCATTATTGACTTTTTTGATCCTGAGAGTGTATTTTCGAATATGCCTTACTCAGTTCCCTTGCTTATAAAGTCAAATTAATAATATCTCTGAGTTAAGTGTACTTTTTAATTTTAAATTTCCATGAAGTGATTTTTGTAAGTTGTAACAATATCTGTGATTCTGTTGCTGTTGAAGTACTGCCCTGGAGGAGAGCTGTTTGACTACATAATTTCCCAGGATCGCCTGTCAGAAGAGGAGACCAGGGTTGTCTTCCGTCAGATAGTATCTGCCGTCGCTTATGTGCACAGCCAGGGCTATGCTCACAGGGACCTCAAACCAGTAAGTGACTGCATCACAGTTAGATGCTTACCTGAGAGTTCAACATCGTTTACCTGTTATTTTTAGGTTTCCAAATGATCTGTTTAGGTATCTGTCTTAGGTTTGCTTGTTTTTGTTGTTGTTGTTCCCATCATAATCTATGACATTTCTTACTTTTACTATTTTTAGTAGAGATGGGGTTTCACCATGTTGGCCAGGCTGGTCTCGAACTCCTGACCTCAGGTGATCCAACTGCCTTGGCCTTCCAAAGTGTTAGGATTACAGACATGAGCCACTACACTTGGCCTTTTTTCCTCTTTCTTTTGACTTTTGGAAGGTGTTTTTCCTTTTTTTTTCTGTTGTCTGGACAGGAGTGCAGTAGTGTAATTTTGTTTTACTGCAGCCTTGACCTCCAGGGCTCAAGTGATCCAACCACCTCAGTCTCTTAAGTAGCTGGGAGGACAGGTGCACACCACTATGTCTAATTTTTTTTTAATTTTTTGAGACAGAGTCTCACTCTGTTGCCTAGGCTGGAGTGCAGTGGCACAATCTCAGCTCACTGCAACCTCCACCTCCCAGGTTCAGGTGATACTCCTGCCTCAGCCCAGCTAGTAGCTGGGATTACAGGCATGCATCACCATGCCCAGCTAATTTTTGTAGTTTTAGTAGAGATGGGGTTTCACCATGTTGGCTAGGCTGGTCTCTACCATGCCTAGCCAGTTTTTTAATTATCTGCAGAGATGGGGTTTCACCATGTTACCCAGGCTGGTCTTGAACTCCTGAGCTCAAGGTGTCCTTTTGCCCTGGCCTCCCAAAGTGCTGGGATTACAGATGTGAGCCACTACTCCTGGCCTTGGTAGGCTTTTTGGATGCATTTATGAGCATTTTGTATATCTGTCAATTGTGTGTGTCTTTATAAATGTCTTTTTTTGTTTTTTTTTGAAACAGGGTCTCACTCTGCTGGAGTGCAGTGTCATGATCAGGGCTCACTGTAGTCTCAACCTCTTGGGCTCAGTGTTCCTCCCAACTCAGCCCCCAAAGTAGCTGGGACTACAGGTGTATGCCACCATGCCTAGCTAATTGTTTGTATTTTTATTTTGTTTTATTTATTTATTTTTTTTGGAGACTGAGTCTTGCTCTGTTACTCTGGCTGGAGTGCAGTGGTGTGATCTTGGCTCACTGCAACCTCTGCCTCCTGGGTTCAGGTGATTCTCCTGCCTTAACCTCCCGAGTAGCTGGAATTACAGGTGCTTGCTACCATGCCTGGCTAATTTTTGTATTTTTAGTAGGCATGGGGTTTCACCACATTGGCCAGGCTGGTCTTAAACTCCTGACTTCAAGTGATCTGCCTGCCTCAGCCTCTCAAAGGGCTGGGATCACAGGTGTGAGCCACCACACCTGGCTGGAAACTATCTTTTTCCATCTGTTTATACTGAACTCGTCAGTTTGAACTCACTCTTTTGGTTTATATTTGCTTTTGGCACAAATTGTGTTTGCTTGTAGTTGACCCTCAGAACACCAAGGAGAAAATGGTTTATGCTAGTGAGTCTTGTGGGGAAGTGATAGAGTGATCAACATTCCTCCTCTTTTCCCTTCTATACATCTTGTCATTTTGTTAATTTCTGGTCATTTTTGGTTTGTTGTACCCATACTTTTTAACAGAGACAACTTCAAATCATTTTTACTCATTTTAATTAATTTATTTATTTTAAAAAAATGAGACCAGGTCGTGCTGTGTTGCCCAGGCTGGTCTTGAACACTGGGTTCAAATGGTCCTCTCATCTCTGCCTCCCAAAGTGCTGGGATTACTGGCATGAGTCACCACACCTGGCCTTAAATCATTTTTAGAAATATCTAGAAGTGGGGTGTGATATAAGGAAGTCAGTATATGGTTATCAAAATATCTTTGTTTTCCCAGGAATATTTGCTCTTTGATGAATATCATAAATTGAAGCTGATTGACGTTGGTCTCTGTGCAAAGCCCAAGGTAAATGCAGAAATAAGATGCATCTATGTTCTTTGTAAATGTATTTATTTCTTAGTGTGTGATTTGGTCCTAACTTCCACTTAGTCTTTATTGAGCTTGGTTGCCTCCATTGAGAAGAATGTTAAATTTCATTTCTGATATCAGTAGTTTTTGTAAGTTCTCTAGATGATCATAACATGCAATCAAGATTGAGAGTCACTGCCCTACTTCCAGGGTTGGTTCTGCTGAAGACTAGATATACTGTGAGAATTTGCAGTACAGAGGTGACTTGAGGCTGTTAGAGCAGGATTGCTGACTTGACCATGTGCTTGCAGTTTGAGTATATTGCCACTAGATGATGCCTTTGCTTGTTTAGATAAAAGTTGAGAATTTAGTGCAAATCTATTATCCAAATGGTTCTATAACTAACAGTTAGTTACATTTTGAGAAACAATCTCCTTTCCTTTTAAAAGAAGGAAAAAGCCCATATGCACTTCTAAATTTATAACTGTTATGTATTTCCTTAGTTTGCATTCCATGGTTAAGTATTTGTGTTCTCCAGCATAACTACTCTTTGAGGTGACTTTGAACTTTAGCTCTGCTATCTGCAGCAGATCTCCTGTGTGGCTGCCTGTTGGAGGCTTCCTCTGGAGTTCTCTAATCATGGTACTCACAGTCTCTAAAATGAGCTGTCTACACTCATTAAGAATGCTGAATTTGCAGACTTGTCTCAGGTTTTTGTAGTCCCATGACTGTTTCCTGCCTGGATCAGAATTAGCTAGGTACAAAGAGAAGCAGATTTTGCCCCTTTGGCAGAATGTCTGATTTTTTTCTGATTCTTCTCTCCCTCCCTTGGCTCTTCAGAGACTCTCAGTGGAAACTTTTTCCTGGGAACCAAATGCTAGAAGGCAGGAAGGCAGAGTTTTTATTTTTTATTTATTTATTTATTTTTATTGGCAGACATGTAAAGAGAAAACATACTTTGAACAGATAAACTGGTTTAAGTCATAAGTCGTTCTCCACGGGAGGGAGTGGAGAAGGTTTGTGACAAACCCTGTGAGCCTTCATTTAAGGCTGCCACGGATTACCCACAGAGACACCATCTAAGAAAGTGGGGTTGCCTGGGAGAGGCCTCAGCCTTCTTCTGAGGAGCGCATTCCTGGGCATGTTGTTTCAGTTGTAAATGACATCTCACAATTTCACAAATCCTTTGCCAGCTGTAAGAACTCTATACAGCTGTTGGACTGTAGCTTTGTTTTCATTATGTCTTGGTATTTCTGTGTTTCTGTGGGAGGGCAGAGGAGGATGAGCAAATTTCTCATTTTAACAGGTCTGGAAACTAAGGGAGTGATTTGTCTTACAACTGCATCTAGAAAACAGATATTCAAGGCACTGTTTTATGTAACATATTGCTTTTTCCCCTCTAAGAAAATAGAAGCTCTTCTGTATTTGTAAAGATTTGATACTGGAGATAAGTTCCAGTAAATAAATTCTTTTTCCCCCTGAAATACTTGGGGATGGAAAGACATTGGTGCTTGGATATATGCTAGGCTGATTATTATGTATATGGGTATTTAGGGAAGTATGAACCTGATTTGACTGAGCTAAGGAGAAAAGGATTTGTTCATGCCAGGTTGTAGTGGTGTTGGGAATCTAGAGAAGCAGAGACCACACGTGCATGCACACATGTACACACAGAGTATTGTGTTGGTTGTAGAAATCCTTTATTATGTGGGGTAGTTCTTCATCTAGCTTCTCTTTGCTAGTGCTCAAAGATATTTATCAGCCAGGCGCACTGACTCATGCCTATAATCCCAGCAGTTTGGGAGGCTGAGGTGGGCAGATCACCTGAGGTTAGGAGTTTGAGACTAGCCTGGACAATGTGGTGAAATTCCATCTCTACCAAAAATACAAAAATTAGTTGGGCATGGTGGCACGCTGGGTGCCTGTAATCCTACCTACTCGGGAGGCTCAGGCAGGAGAATCACTTGAATCCAAGAGGCGCAGGTTGCAGTGAGGTGACATCGCACCATTGTTCCATCCGTGAGACACAGCCTTCTACACAAGTAAATTGCCTTGCTGAGAAAATTCCTTGTCTGAGCAGAAGTTCTTTTCAGCACTGAGGAACAAGCATTTGTTTCTAACACAGAGACATTTAGTAATATGCCAAAAGTCACACTACTTGTAAGGAAAAAGTTAGGATGTGAATCCAGGTGTTTGGATTTCAGAATTCAAACTCTCAACTACTGCATTATCCTGCCTCCTCCTAAGCAATGACATGGCCATGTAACTTATGACATATGTGGCCAATGGAAAATTAGTAAATACATGGTGAAAAAATTTCCATTGAAATGCTTATAAGAAGGTATAATTTTTTCATTTATCTGTTTCCTTGATTCATTTTACTAGTCAAGTCTCTTCATAGCTTACTAATTTAAGCCAAAAAAAAAATTATCAGAAGGCAGCTAGTGGAGTTGTCATGAAGGCAGACTTTAGGCTCAAACCCCCTGTGTTTGAATCCTGATGCCACTAATTACAAGCTATGTAACTTTAGGCATATTTCTTAATCTGTGCCTCAATTTACTCCTCTGTAAAATGGAGATAATGACAGTGCATTTCACATTTTTAAAATGAGAATTAACTGAAACAATACATTCTTAAATAATACTTGGCATACGATAACTACTCAATTTATATTAGCTTTTGATCAAGAATCTTTCTTTTTCCCACCTTTCCTGGCTCTGCCTTCTCCCTGTCTCAGGCAGCTACTCTAGTAGTGGCTAAAGGCCACGGAATCCCCGGGCTTACATCCTCTCCTATTTCATTTGCAACAAAATGAGAAAGTCTCCATTGCAAATGGTTCCAGAAAGAATTCTGGGTTTGAGGCTCACTGACTCTTATTGGTCCTCTGACTTAATTATGAAGACAAGGTAGCCATGCTCTGATAAGCCAGGCTTGGGTTGGAGTCAGGCATCTTTGGCGCCTACAGTGGAGGCAGCTCCATGAAGACCATGGTCTGAAAATGGAGGAAGCATCTTTTTCAGAAAATGCAGATGCTGCTCCCAGAAATGGGGGAAATGGATACTGGATTAACACAGTAATATGTGCCTACCATACCCACCTCATCCATTGAGCTCATGGTGACATGTAAACACACACAACAAAAAAGAACAAATAGTCGAGGGCATCAAGATATTGGATATAAAATAATAAATACAGAAGTAAGATTAACACAGAAAATGAGTACAGCTAAATAAACATAAAATGCAAAATTGAAACTTTCCAGCAACGTGACTGTAGCATGAAAGATTAAGATAGTTTTGATTTTAAAAAGACTGAAAGGAAATATTCCAACATGCTGACCGCTTTGTAATGTGCCTGGAGGTGAGGGGTGAGTGGGAAGGAGTATCTCTCTTAACATAATGAGGCCAATATTATAACTTAAAAGAAGTAAGGTCAAGATAAGTGAATGGGAAGAATATGATTTTTTCATATATATTTGGTGGGGCTCTTCAGAAGGAAATTCATTTTTTTTCCATAGGAGAATTTTATCCACAGCCTGGAATAGAAGCCCGCCTTTGGATCTCCCCCACGGGTAGAACAGAGCCACCTTTCTCCTCTGTACGGCCTGCAGAAACTGAAAGGGGTGGAGAGGGGAGTTCACAAGATTTGGTAGCTGCCTGGGAAATTGTCCAGACATAAGAACTGACTAAAGGATGGGTAGTAGAATCTTTAGGGAGCAGAAGGCAGACTGACGGGGCAGTGGGTAAATAGAGAGGCCTGAGGGAAGCGCTGGGGGAAGCTAGGAGTCAGGAGTGAGGCAGTGACCATAGCTACATAGGCATGAAAATGAGGGGCAAAAGTGACCAGACCACACGATCATCTCTTAACTCTCTGTCCCTATAATTTCTTTTTCTCTATATGAGATATGACTTTTGGAAAACTGCCTAAATTTTTTTCACAAAGAACTATGTATTTCTGCATTCATGTCAAATGTGTGAGCTCAGGTTGAGAAAAGTGGGCCTGATGGGGTCAGGTCTAGGAGACATAATGTTTCCCACCCTCTGCCCCATACCCTACTGGGATTAGCAGCATCCTCACTGTGGACAGCCAGGTGGCAAGGCCTTCCCCAAGAGACTATGACCTAGATACAGAAACAGCAATCACCATGTGTGGGTTTCAAAAGCCTGAGAGATCAAGCTTGAATTCTTTAACGGACCCTCACACTCAGGCCCTGCCTACCTCCAAGGCTTTATTTTTGCTACTCACTTCACTCTGCAACCCTGGGCTCCCAACATTCTTCTAGTTCTCAGGATGGGTAGTGGTGCCCCCTGTCTCCCTGGCTTTGCACAAGTGCTCCTTCTGCCTCATGAACTTGTTTAAGACCCAGTTCCAATGTCACAGTGTTGGTATAGTCATTCTTCCTCAGCATCAATCACTCTACCACCACCCTCTCCCAAGAACAAGTCATTTCCTCTCTGTGCTTCCTCACTTGTCCAGAATGATATATGGCAAAACATTCCTGTGCTGTCACACAGAGCCTGGGCCTCTTCTTTCCTTCTTTATGGGTGTCTCATTCCTGGACCATGAGTTCTGGGAAGTCAGGGAACAAATATTCTTTGTTTTGCCCCTATTATCACCTAGCCCAGTACATGACATATGGTAACCACTTGGTAAAGGTCTGGAGGAGTGAACAGAAGACACATGGATGACAGAGTGAACTTATTCATTAATTAATGAATTAATCCAAAATCCTTTTAGTTATAAAATGCTATGCTACAAATATTCCTATTCCATATGCAATAGCATTGTACATTAGAATATATTCTAAATGCAATATTTAAAGCACTAATAAAGTATACATATACAATATAAAAATGAAAATATAAAAATATATAAACAAAAATAATATAAAATGAATAAAGTATACATATAAAATATAAAAAATATACATGTGTATGTATCTAAAATGCAATGATAATTTTTAAAGGAAAGTTTGCTAATCTTTGTTCTTTTCATATTGAAAGATTTTTTTTTATGACAAAATAAGGAATGAAGTTAAGAAAATGAGGAGCTCCAAGTTCTAATGCCTACATTATGACTGGTTTTAAATACCTGCACACAAATCTTTCTATATGTTTCACTAATTACAAGATAACAATAAAGATACCTACTTGCTAGTAATTATGTATGTGCTGGTTTGATTTTTCAAACCAAGAAATAAATATGAAAGAGAGTTGAAAGATATTCATAAAAAGGCACAACTAATATAAGAGAATAAAAAGGTAAGAACTGAAACTTGGCCATTCCCATTCAAGTTCACTGGAAGAAGCATTGATTCATTCATTTATTCAATAAATACTTTTTGAGCTACAAATACTATGTGCAAGGCTTCTAGACACTAGAGATAGGGCACAAATGAACCAAACAAAAACCTCTGCATTGATGGAACTGATATTCTAGAAGCATAAGAGATAATAAACAAATAAAATGTATAGTATGCCAGATAGTGATAACAGCTATGGAGAAAAACAAAGTTGGAAAAGGAGTTAGAAAGTGTCAGGATAAGGGAAAGGGGCATTGTCATGTTAACTAGATGGTCTTGGAAGGTGACATTTGAACTAAATCTGGGGAGGTCCTGGGTGGTTTTTGGGAAGAAGGAAGGGAACATGAAAATGATCACACTTTTTTTTTTTTTTTTTTCTGTAGTCCTGTCCTCAGGATCTTGCATTCCACTGGGCTGTGTTTATTGGTAATGACCTACACTTTTAACTAATTAAATGGTGCTTTCAGACTGAAAGAAATACTCCATTAGGTAGAGATGAAACATGACAACTTGATTCAAACCTTAAAGAATGGGGAGAGACTGGATGTGATGTACAGGGAGGACAGCAGGAAGGATCACATAAGCAGGGGGAGGCCCTGGGCAGAGAGGAGTACTTCCTCTTCTAGGGACAAGATGGAGATCTTCCCTGCTCCAACAGAAAGGTAAGGAATAAAGCTGGTTTTGTGAAGTGGCCATATAAGCTAGTGAGAAAAGGTCACGCTTGGTCATAAAGGCTACAGGAAGTCACAAAAGCTAAAAGAGCAGAGAAGAAATATGACGAAACAGGTATTTTAGTAAACTTCATTTAGTGGTATAATCAGATAGGAGAAAGAAAAGACTACAAGCAGTGAAGCCATTTAAAGTCTTATTTGTGTTATCTAGATATTAATGTATAAGGGCTGGACCAGAATGGAAGCAGTGAGAACAGTGATATTTACAAAGAAGAGATATTTAGGCAGACCTTGGTAAGTGATTAGATTTGAGGGACATGGGAGGAAAAAAAGTTAGGGCTGACGTATGCAGATGGAGTCATTCCAAGACAGGCCTCTGTGATCCAACAAGAGTGTGACTCACTCAGGATCATACAGTTAGCAAAAAGCTGAAGCCAGAACCCAGATTCCCTGCTATTCCCTCTGCTAGATGACTCCAAAGTTTTAAACTGGGGAAATAAGCAGTTTGCTTACCCCCCAAAATGAGTTATTATGGAGAGATAGCTAGCTTTTAGTTAAGTAGGGTAGATGGAGAAATTTTAGTTTTATATTTGAGTTTGAAGATACTAGAGTACAGAAATCTGGGAGACAGGCAAAACTTTAGGATAGGAAAAGGCTCTTCCCTTACTAGTTTGTGATCTTGCTCAAGTCACTTAACTTCTCTAAGCCTCAGTTTCCCCAGTTGCAAAGGGGGGGGTTAACATTATTACTTAATGGTTACCATTAATTAATATTTATAAAGGACTTGGAGCAGTATCTGGTACAAGATAAGTGTTACTTAGTTTTTTTTAAATAAAATAGGTAAGATGTGATGCAATGAAAGAGGTTGGCTTTCTGGGGAGGTAAGAAGAAGAAGTGGGGAAAACTAGGGGAGAATTTAGGAAAATTGATGTATGGTCTGAGATAGAAGTCAAGGGAAGAATTGTATTAGCTGAAAAAATAAAATTGAATGACAGAAAGGTACAGAGAAAGACGAAGGCCAAAAAAGACCGTCAGATGTGGAAAGGAGTCCTCCCAGAGTGCACTCTGGACAAAGAGCTCCTGGAGAATGAAAGAGGCAGTGAGAATGAGGAAGAAAGGTTCTTGGATAGTTATTTGCCAACAATATGTGAATGTATCCAAGAACAGATCAAGCTTGAAAATAGGCATTTGACTAAATTAATGGGTAACACATTCATGGTGAATTGTTAAAACACTGTTAAAGAAATCTGGAGACAATTCTAACCATCAGGAAATTGACAGCACAGAGGATAACAATGCTGGCCTAACCTTCATGGTTAGGTACCAAATACTAAATTGAATACAGCATGATCTGAGGTAAGATGGAAGATTTTATGATTCCCACATGCACCCAAAAACTTTTCCTTGATTGCAAATGCTGAAAATTTGACATGCTCTCATTAAATTTTATGTTTGTATGAAACCAGTATCTTTTCTGTATGAAAGTGTATGTCATAAACATTCAGAAACTCAGAGAAGCTCATCTGAAAGGCTGTGTAGTACAGCATGGAGTGAAGCCTCCTGGGCAAAATGCTTTCTATGTATCATTCGTTGGGTCTCAGTTTGAAGAAGTACTTACACATTCGTTCTCTTTGTATTTTTCTATCCAAATGTTTGCTCATAAATTCCAACGTAGTAAATAGGGAGGATTTTGAAAGTCAGAAACTCTAAATTTCAAAAGAGCTTTATTTTTCTTTATGTTTGTTTTCATACTTAGTCCATGTAATGAACTTTGTCTTATATGCTTAGAAGGGCACTGATATTTGGTGAGGAGTGGGTGTGGGGGAGGAGTTACCTAACCAGTTCTGAAAAGTTACTAAACTGCCTACCAGAAAGGAAGGCTGTATCAGGAAGAGACTGAATATAGTCCTTAGGCATTTTAATATTAGGTTTCAAATCAGGTTATATTGGACTGGCACTGTCCAACAGGAATATAATGAGGCCTACAAATGTGAGCCACATATGTAATTTTACATTTTTTTTAATGCAAGCAGCATCTTTAAAAGGGAAAAACATTTAAAGGTGAAATTAATTTTAATAATATATTTTTATATCCAAAATATTTAACTGCAATCAACATAAAAGTCATTAACAAGACATTTTGTATTATTTTTTCTGTACTGTCTTTAAATTCCAGCCTGCATTTTACACATCCAGCACTTGATAATTCAGACCACATCATGCCAGTGGTCAATAACCACATGTGGCTAGTGGCTATCATTAAATAGTGCAGCTTTGAACCAAAAAACCTTTGCTTTGCTTTGGTTTTTTTCTTTTTCATCTTTTAAAGACAGAGTTTCATTCTTTTTCCCCAGGCTGGAGTGCAATGGCAAGATTTTGGCTCACGGCAACCTTCACTTCCTGGGTTCAAGTGATTCTCTTGTCTCAGCCTCCCGAGTAGCTGGGATTACAGGTGCCCAGCACCACGCCCAGCTAATTTTGGTATTTTTAGCAGAGATGGTTTTTCACCATGTCGGCCAGGCTGATCTTGAACTCCTGGCTTCAGGTGATCCACCCGCCTAGGCGTCCCAAAGTGTTGGGATTACAGACGTGAGCCACTGGGTCCGGCCTGCTTTTGGTATTTTTTAAGAGCAGGTTGGTAAATGGAGGCATTATATGAAGAGTGCCCTCGTGTAGCACACTTTACAGCAGCATGCCAGCACCTTGAAATGAACACAGGCTTTTCCACTCCAGTCAACACTGGGACTTTTCTGTTTCTTTCTTGAGTTTGAGGCTGGGCTTCTTAGCAGACAACAGTTTAAAACTAAAATAAACCTGGACGCAGTGTACCTTTTAAAAGCAAGAATGCCGCATTCAGTGTTTGTCCAGAGAAAAGCACACGTCAGGTTGCAACGAAAAGAAATTGAGAACTCATAATGTTTATTCCTCGGATTAATCTATTATATTTATTTAAGGTGTCCCAGGAAGGATGATGGGCATAACGCTTGCAAACGTTGATTTGAATCCTGATAAATTTCACTAATTTTTTTTTTTTTTTGGTCAGCCTGTTTTCAAGAATGGTGTCAACCCTTAATAACACCTAGCCTAAAGAATCCCAGGGTTGATTCCCGACCTCGCCAAATTTGTGGGGCTCCCTCCACTTGCCCACATTCCCTGACAGCTTCGTAGCTTCAGGCAGTTGGAGTTTCCGGTCCTCGCTCCTTTCTGCGGGAGGTCAGCGGGCCCCGGGCAGAGCGCGCCGTCTGCCCGAGTATCCCAAGGCCATTTCCGCGCTGGGTCCACGCCCTCCTCTCCCGTCGCTGCCTGCGTGCCAGGCCGGGCGCGGGTTGGCGGGGCTGGCCGCAGCGGCTCAAAGCTTGGGCCCTCCCCCGGGCTGATTTCAGCACAGAAGGTGGAAATGCGGAAGTTTCCAGTTCCGACTGACAGATGAGGCTTGCGCCTGGCTCGACATGCTCCGCGGCGACTCTGCTGCGAGCCGGGCCCCCGCTCTCCTCACTCCCCGACCCTAGAAGCCACCACGCCGCCGGTGGGTCATGGCCACTCTGCCGAGCGCAGAGCGCCGCGCGTTTGCGCTGAAGATCAACAGGTAAGACTCGCCCCGCGGCGCTACAGGTCGCGGCGGAACAGCCCAGCACCGGCGTGGCGCGGTGCATCGCTGCAGGGGTCGAGGCCGGTCGAGTCTCTGCGCGTCCGCGGCGGGGCGTGCCTGAGACCTGGGGCGCCCAGTTCCCGGGGCTGCGGCGGTGGTGCCGCTGGACGGCCCGATCATCCCGAGAATCCTGGTGCTCCCGGTTGCCCTCAGCCATCTGGGATCGCTTCCCTGAACAACCTCGCCCATTCCGC